CTTTGTTTTATGGGGCTTTGGGCTACTCTAACATTCCACCCACCCCCAAGAGGTAACCCTAAAATTTTTTAAGGATTAGATAAAAGCTCCCAAATACGTTTGACATTTTTAGCCTTTGGAACAGAGTATGTTGCTAAGAGGCCCAAGGACATTGTGAGTTTTACCAAAGAAACTGGCTACTTTTCTTTGGGGTCTTTTTTCCCTAACTGCCTAGCCAATTCCTACCTCTATTTTTTAATATTTTATTATTTTTATTTTATGTGTATGAGCGTATTGCCTGCATGTTTGTGAGTGCACCCTTGTCTTGCAATGCCACGGAAGTAAGAGAGGGCTTCGGATTCCCCTGGAACTGGAGTTAAGGATGGTTCGTAGCCACCATGTGGGTGCTGGGAATCAAACCCGGTCCTCTGCAAGAGCAGTCAGTGCTCTTAACCACTGAGCCATCTATCCAGCACCCCTACCTCCTATTGTTATCCTCTGAAGAGGTTACCCAACTTGAGGATAGGGAATCGGGACGCAGACAGCTCTGGCTTCTTCCATGCTAAACAGGGATGCCGCAGCGTGAGGCAATTGGAGTACCCCTTCAGTGGGTCTATCTAAAAGACTCCCAAATTGCCTCTTATCTTTAGGGGGAAAAGAAAGTCCTTGACTGGTGAATAGGCGATGTGAAGGAGAAGTAAAGGGAAGAGTAATTAGTATTACAAGTTCTAGACGGAACTAGAAAAAAGTCAGAACAGGGCAATTTTCAAATGTTCATATGAGAGTCCATTGGAATTTCTTGACAAGGGCTTCCAGAAGCATCCTTCTGTTAGGTTCCTCCTCATTTTTCTTTTGTCTGCCAAGGCTGGACTCCAGAGTGATGGATTCAGGATTTGCTTTCAGGTATTTTGATAGCTGTTCAAGTGGTTAGAATCAGTGTCAGTTCCCTCTCAAAGACTTGAGATAACAGGGGTTGCTGAGGTGTATGTATGACCTGAGGGTATGCACACTGGAAAGCCTTTACCCAGCATGAGTCATACCTTCTCTTCCTAGCTTTCACCAGATTGCATACTTTAGCCCTTCCCAAATACAAGAGACCATGTGTGATTAGGGCCAAATTACATACAGTTGGCTGGCAAGAGTGGCTGGATACTCTGGTGAGGGTGCAATGACCCTGCTTGGCCCTCCTTTAATGAATGAGTACAATTGTCAACAAGCCCAGTTGTGACAATGTTTAGCAACCAGGCCAGGCACAGCTGAAGTCATGATGACGGTAGTTATTTCATGCAGAAGAGACTGCTTGTACAGCATCATCTTATTAAAAGGAAATGGAATTTAAAAGGATTTGATGCTAGGATCCACATATGAGGGAGAACATACGTCATTTGTTTTTCTGAGTCTGTTACTTCATTTAGTATAACAGTTTCTAGATCCATCCATTTACCTGCAAATTTCATTATTTTATCTTTCCTTACTGCTGAATAGAACGCCATTGTGTAAATATACCACATTTTTGTAACCACTCCTCAGTTGAGGGGCACTTAGATTGCTTCCATCTCTTAGCTATTGTGAAAGCAGCAGCAAACATGGTTGTACAAGTGTCTCTACAATAGGATGAGTCATTTGGGTATATGCCAAGGAGTGCTATAACTAGGTCATATGGTAGGTTCAGTTTTAGTTTTTTTAAGAGTTCTCCACACTGTTTTCCAAAGGGGTTGCAGGAGCTTGCAATCCCACCAGCAGTGAATGAGAGTTCCCCTTTCTCCACATCCTTGCCAGCATTTGGTATCATTTGTTCTCTTGATCCTACCCAGTCTGATTGGGGTAAGGTGATACCTTAGGGTGGTTTTAATTTGCATTTCCCTAAGGCCATTTGGTTTCTCAATTCTTTGTTTTTTGAGTTCTTTATATATTCTGGATGTTAAATCCCTGTCAGATGTGTCACTGGGTGAAGAATTTTTCCCATTCTGTGGGTTTTCTCTTCACTTTCTTGATAGTTTCTTTTGCTGTCCAGAAGCTATTTAGTTTAATGAGATCCCACTTGTTGATTGCTGGCCTTAATTCCTGAGCAACTGCTGTCTGATTTAGAAAATCCTTTTCTACACCTATATCTTGTAAGTTATTGCCAATATTTTCTTCTAATAGTTTCAGGGTTTCCAGTTTCACATTGAGGTCTTTGATCCTTTTGGAGTTGACTCTTGTGCAAGGTGAAAGAAAGATAAGGATCTAGTTTCATTCTTCTACAAGTGGAGATCCAGTTTTGCCAACACCATTTGTTGAAGATACTGCCTTTCCTCCATTGTGTGTTCCTCGCACCTTTGTCAAATATCAGGTGGCTGAAATTGCGTGAACTCGGGTTTGGGTCTTCAGTGATGTTCCATTGATCTATGTGTCTATTCTTGTGCCAGTACCATGCTGTTTTTATGACTATATCTCTGTAGTAGATCTGGTATAGTAATCCTCCCAGCACTCCTCTTTGTGCTCAGGGTTGCTTTGGCTATCTGGGGTCTTTTGTGCTTCCATATGAATTTAAGGATGGTTTTTCTAATTCTGTGAAGTATGTCATAGGGATTTTGATTGGGATTGCATTGAATCTACATATTGCTTTTGGTAGGATGGTCGTTTTCACAATATTAATTCTTTCAATCCATTAGCGTGGGGCATTCCTTCCATCTCCTGGTGTCTTCCTCAGTCTCTTTAACGATTTAAAATTTTGATTGTAGAGATCATTGGTGTCTTTCATCAGGTTTATTTGAAGTTTTTTTTTTTTTTTCC